CGGGTACAGACACCCGCCTCTCCTCAAGATCAATTTCTCGAATTACCGAGCTCCCCCTAATCATTTCGTCTTCCAAGAAGATGACGTGTCCCGTTTCTACAAACTTTGTATAACTGTTTGGACAGTAGAAACGATGACCCTTTGATCTTTTAGAATAGCCAATAAAATGGCAGCTTACTGTTTTGGGTTAAATACTTTATCCTTTGCAGGACTCCCCCACACACGGAGGATCCATAGCTCATACGGTGTTTTGGGCACCGATGCATTCTATGCATTGTATGCATTGTTCTAAAACTGAGAACTCCAATGGAGGAAGAATTACATTCTTAACCAGTCTCTCAATTCTCCCCCTCGAAATATGGCCTAAACAACAGTGCCATAATTTCGATGAGACATCAGGAGTTCGCTTTCTTTTCTTTTGTCAACGAGGACACAACATTCACATTCTCAGAAAGAGATAACAAATAAAACTGATCTTGCAACATAAGACCAATACATTCATTATTATACCATAGTTCACATTTGCCATTTCCAAAATGGCAATCATATCTATCAAAATCCAATTTGGATACACTTATTATCAAGTTTCTTTGCAAAGAAGGGACATAAAAACGTCTGGAAGTAAAAGTGTGAAGCCATTCGCGAGTTCTAGGCGAAGATCTCCAACAGCCTCAACTTTTGCTTCAACTCCATTGGCAACTCTAATGGATCTTTCACTTCTTTGCATAGTCCTCATTGAACGGAATCCCTTTAAACAATTACACACATGAATAGTTGCTCCAGAATCAATCCACCATGTGGATCTAGAATAACCAATCATAATGAGATTCTTTACAAATGTAATAATGTTCTCACCTTTCTTTGCCATGATCACTGTCAGGAAGTCAGGATGATCTTTCTTGGAATGTCTTTTCTTGCAATGTAGACACTGATCTTGTCTCAACTGTAAACTGTTGCTTCTGAGGCAGATGCTGAGGCTGTTTTTCTTTTGAGGAGGGTGACCTGTGGCTCTTTTCCTTGTTATCTTTGACAAGGTTAATGGAGTCACCATTGGTCTCTTTGTGTCTTTCCTCCTCTTGCACACAATTAGAGATGAGCTCTTCAATATTCCAATTCTCTGTACTTATTTTGTAGTTGACAACAAGGTTGTCAAAGTTCTTTGGCAATGAGGACAAAACCAGATGGACCAGAAAGTCATCTGAGATGCCCAAATCTTTTTGCTTCAATTTGGAAGCCATATTGCTCATCCTAAGAATGTGGTCTTTTACACCACCTCCATGGTACCTCTCTGTAACAAGCTGCTTTATCAGCTGTGTCGCATAAAACTTTGAAGAACCACTAAACTGGCTCTTTATACTTTCGAGGTACTTAGAGACAGTGTCATACTCTGGGATTGAGCCCAATATGGTTGGCTCAATCGTGTTCTTTACCGCAGCCAAACAATTCTTGTTGGCTGAAGACCATTTCGCATGCTCAATGTCATACGACATGATGAGGGAAGCATTGTCCCTCTCTCTCTTTTGCCATTCAGCATCTGACTCTTTTTCACCTCTGAAAATTTCAGCAGGTTCTATAGGACATGGGGTAGTCAACACCCAGTCCACCTCTCCCAAGATAAAAGCAAGGTCGAGTTCTCTTTTCCATTCTTCGTAGTTATCTCCTTTCAGGGTCGGAATATCTTTAATGTAACCCATCAAGGAGTAGCCATCTGAGATAATCATGTATTGTGAGAACAAAATTAACATTAAAATTATTATGTATTAAGTCTACATCACCGTTGGGCAGAAAATAGACATAACACATAAAGCCATAACTATAACATTGCAATTATCAACGTTGGTCAGAAAAATTACAACATCATAGCACATAATTAATGTTCCTAAAATTAAAATCTCCCGTTGGTTCGAAATTTAATTTTAGAAACACTAATTTTCATCAATTTCATCTATTTGCAGCGGAAGATCTATATACAATTCATATAAATTGTAACAAAACTCTGTTGTTTACGCTCTGTAAAATTCTCCCGTTGGTTCAAATTTAAACAGAGATAAAACATGTAAAACAATTCAAAATTCTATTGTAATTTGCATGAAAAATACAAAATACATGTTCAGAAGCATTTCTCACATTTATCTATTCTCTAAACAATTTTCACGTTGGTTCAAATTGCTTAGAAATAAACACAATCATTAAACATATTGAAAATGCTTCCTTCGGCCGAGGGACTTTTATTAAACTTCCTTTCTTTTGATTCGGCCCCGAGGGACCTAAAATGAACTTTTTCGGCCTTTGCCAGTCGGCCCACGGCCGCCTTGCGCGCGGGCGGGCGCCCCCTCCCCTTTCGCCAGGCCGCAACCTGGGCCTGGGCCGGGAAAGTGGCTTGCCGTGCGCTCCCACATGGGCCGATTTCGGTCCGGCCGCCGTCGGCCGTCCGATCGCTAGGGTTTCGATCGGACGGTCGCGCGGGCGGATCGGGCAAACAAAACCGCCCCCGGCCGCCGGCGCCGAAAACCTAGCTCCTCTTCTCTTCTTTCTCTTGCGGTTGCACGGAGCGGCGTCGCCGTCGCCGAAACCCTAGCACAGCGCCGGCGGCGGCATGGCGACACGGCGGCGCCGTCGCACTCCCCTTCGCCGATGCGCGCACTCACTCAAGGGTGAGTGCGCCGCCGTCGAGCGGTTGTGCCGCGGCGCCCTCTCCTTTCTCTTGCGGGCGTGCGCCGTGCCGAGCGGCGTCGCCGACGCCGGCAGCCTTCGCGCCGCCGCGCCATGGCCGACGCCCTCGCGCCGCCACGCCCTCTATTCTTTTCTCTTCTCCCCCCCCCACCGTCTCACCCCTCCACGCGAGTGAAGAGTGAGAGACCGGCGACGACGGAGATGGTGGCGCCGCCGCGGGCCCCCTCGCCGGCGCGCGCGTGCACCCGCGGGTGCGCACGCGGCTGTCGAGTGGCTCCTCGGCGGTGCCTCTTTGCCCCTCTCCCCCTCCGTGGCCGGCGTCAACGACGGCCGGCGACGAGGTAAGATTAGGGTTAGGGTTTCGATCTTTTCGATCCGTTGGATCGTTTGCTTTTCTTTGCCTTTCTTTTGGATTTCTTTCCCCAACCAATCTAAACTCTAGGGTGGCTCTGATACCATTGTTAGGGTTGTCTATTGGATCACCTAGGTTTAGATCTAGTCGGGTGGTTCTATTTGCGATGGATGATTGAACAACAATAGAGAATAAGGGAAAGGGTTTAGGGATGTGACCGGTTGACGCGTTGGATGAAGAGGAAGTCCCAGCCATCGTCGTTGTCGTCGCTCTGCTTGACGTGGGCGGCGGCGGCGATGGCGGTCGTGACGGCGACGGTGCTGCGCGGCAGTGGTGGTCGTAGGGGATCCCGGCGAGGTCGTGGCGCGGCGGTGGAGTCTTCCCGTCACTGGCTGCGCCCCCTCGATCGGTTAGGGTTTATGGGGTGGAGTGGCGGCGGCATGCGACGAACCTCGTTCCTTGTGTCGTTATGCCGTCCCGTCCTCCACCCCTCTTTATATGGCACAGTGTGACGGGGGCCCACCAGCCATTGGGCTGGGCGCCCCCGATCAGGGCGCGGGTCAAGGCCCCCTTGAGCCGTTGGGCTCAAGGGGAGGGAGATCCATCTAACATGTGGCATTATCTTCCATGCATTAATCTGGGGATAACGTGTTATGTATCCTGATTTTCTATCCCGAAACATATAAACGTGTCAAATGTCGCATTAATTTGTTCAAAAAAGGACAAAATTTCCTTTCTTTCAAAAAAAGAAAAAGAAAAATTGCTACTCCAGTTTTCTACATTTTCAGATATATGTGTTGCTATGCTAGAACCCCAGCATTTCACATCTGTATAGCGTGCTCTAGAGACAAGTTGAATCTGTGGTTATACAAAGTTCTTCAGTCAACAATGATCAGTAGTACATAATTTTGTCATGGTACAAAATAACAATACTGATATTGTTTAACTCGACGCAGGACACCACCTCCTTATATTTTGGAAATTAACTATCAAACTCTACTTATAAGTCATTCGATCTCCGCTCACCATCCGTGCACCTGATTATTATAAAATATTAAATACGGAACATGTTTGAATCCACGATAATGTATATAGCTTAAACCATAATAAGTAATTGCGCACTAGGCCCCAATCCCCCCTCCCTGCGCCATACCATATTTAATGCATTCCTGTCGTGCTCATTACGTAATCTCGCACCCACGCAAAAAGAATATGCAAATGCGTGGGAGGATTTTTACTACAAACCCATGCATCGTCAACGAGAAGGGGCGCGCGCGCCACCACGTAGATTATCAGAAACAACCACGTATACTTCAACTTTATTATAAAAAAAACATACATATAGCGAAATGCCAAGGTACGTAGCAGCAGATTGTGGCCGTAGCAACGTAGCTCAAACGTTGGTCAATCCATGTGCAATTACATTACCTAGTAAAATAAAAGGTAAAAAAAATGCCAATCCCAAACGGCACAGGCGCACAGCATTTGAATATTACGGTTTAGAATAATCCCCAACACGGCTCATCCCAACCCGTACGGAACAGCTTGACAACAGCAGAGTACGCGCCACTCGTGTGTACAACCCCCGGGTGACCCAAGCCACGCACGCCAACGACGACAGCGCCACCTGTCACAGAAGAATCTCCCTACCCCCTGTCACTGCCATGTGGGCCCATGACGCGCGGCCACCACCAAACCACCACCATCCCGACCAATCAAACGGAGACGAGGCGACGGCGACGACAGCGACAGCGCCGTGGCAGTATACTCCTTGCCAGTAGAAGCATCCGAGACGTGACGTCACGTCACCCCGCCTTTACTCGCTTTCTCCGTTCTCCCTAGCCGCGTGAGCCGCGGTTTGCATCTCATCTTCACTCGCTTGCTCTCTCTTCCACCCGCTTTCCTCTTCCTCCTCGCCGCGCTTCCGCGTGGGCCCCCATCCCCGTTACCTATATATACCCCCCCCCTTCTCACCGTCTCCTTCCTCCCTCCAAGTCCAAGTGACCAACCATCATCAATCATCGCTAAGCCCACCTCGGAGATCTCGAGTTCGATCGTCGTCGTCGTAGCTGTAGAGGTAGTTAATTATCTCGTTTTAGATGAGCTCACTGACGGCGGCGCAGTTCCGGTCGCTGTTTGAGATGGCAGGAGGGGAGGATATCTCGTTTCTGTTTGGTGATGATGAGGCGGCGGCGGTGGCGGCGCCGGTGGAGTTGCAGGGGAAGAGGGGGTGGGAGGAGGTGGATCAAGGGGAGGGGTCTGGGGCGGTGGCGGCGAAGAGGCAGCGGTCGCCGACGAGCTCGAGGGAGAATAGTAGCGGGAGTAATGAGGGTGGGCAGGAGGAGGTGTCTGAGGCGGCGGCGGCCATGGCGGCGGCGGTGGGGAGGGGTGGGGGGAGGAGGCTGTGGGTGAAGGAGAGGGACTCGGAGTGGTGGGACATGGTGAGTAGCCCGGATTACCCGGACTCGGAGTTCAGGAAGGCGTTCCGCATGTCCAAGGCCACGTTCGAGGTGGTCTGCGACGAGCTCGCCGCCGCCGTCGCCAAGGAGGACACCATGCTCCGCGCCGCCATCCCGGTGCGCAAGCGCGTCGCCGTCTGCGTCTGGCGCCTCGCCACGGGGGAGCCCCTGAGGCTGGTGTCCAAGCGCTTCGGCCTCGGGATCTCCACCTGCCACAAGCTCGTGCTCGAGGTCTGCGCCGCGCTCAAGGCCATGGTGATGCCCAAGGTGGTGCGCTGGCCCGAGGCCGGCGACGCGGCGGCCATCGCCGCGCACTTCGAGGCCATCTCCGGGATCTCCGGCGTCGTCGGCGCGATCTACACCACCCACATCCCCATCATCGCGCCCAAGTCCAACGTCGCCTCCTACTACAACCGCCGCCACACGGAGCGCAACCAGAAGACCTCCTACTCCATGACCGTCCAGTGCGTCGTCGACTCCACCGGCGCCTTCACCGACGTCTGCATCGGCTGGCCGGGGTCCAACTCCGACGAGGAGGTGCTCGAGAAGTCGGCGCTGTACCTGCACCGCGGCGTTCCCGGCCTGATCCAGGGCCAGTGGGTGGTCGGCGGCGGGAGCTTCCCGCTCATGGACTGGATGCTCGTGCCCTACACCCACCAGAACCTGACGTGGGCGCAGCACATGCTCAACGAGAAGGTCGCCGCCGTGCGCGGCGTGGCGCGCGACGCGTTCGAGCGCCTCAAGCGCCGGTGGGGCTGCCTCCAGAAGCGCACCGAGGTGAAGCTGCTCGACCTCCCCACCGTGCTCGGCGCCTGCTGCGTCCTCCACAACATCTGCGAGCGCAGCGGCGACGCCGTCGTCGACGCCGACGACTGCGCCTTCGACCTCTTCGACGACGACATGGTCGCCGAGAACGCCGTCCGCTCCTCCGCCGCCGCGCAGGCCCGCGACGCCATCGCCCACAACCTCCTCCACAGCGGCGGCGGCGCATCCTTCTTCTGATCAAGCATCATCGCCGTTCTTGGTCCGATCAACAGCGATACCAAACAAACCAACAAAAATAAAAAAGAAAAACAAGATTCAGTTTTTAGGTGTATAGGAGGAGCTTCTCCATTTTTTGTCGGAAATGGAGCAGTGAACAGTTTTTCGCTTTATCGTCAGGAGGGACAGGAAAGTTCAGAGTCCTAGTAGTCTCAAAGTAACATTAGTTTCTTGGTTGGATTTTCGATTGATTTGGTTCTTTTAGATCTTGAGAGATTGTTTTTCATGGGGTTGTAATTAATTGCCTGCATAATCTTGTATCCCCCAGATTATCAATTAATCAAACCTGAAAAAGAAAATCATTTTTTTGCCAACCAAATGTATCAGAATATCTTTCACTCTTTCTGCGTGGGCTCGTGCTTGGATCGATTGTGCTGTTGTCTGACGGATATCTTTGAATTGACCAAAGTCAGAGCAAGAATAATCATCCATCTCCTTCTTTGTTTAATGAGAAATCCTCAAGATGTATTAGGTGGCAGCGTGCCATTCATAGCCGTACTAATGACCTCTCTCTACCTGATAATTGGGGATGGATTATGAAAAGAAACAGATGGGGCATGCCCAGTCAATGTACAAGCTGGCAATGCTGGGATAACTAGCTTTACTATTTTACTGACCTTGAATAATTACAACGCAGATTACAACCACTAGTTTACTGCCTTGAATAATTACAGCCCACCTTGGATAAGGATGTGTTCACAGCTTGTTACCATTAGAGAATGGTAATTAATGGGGGATCTCTACGGTGATTACACACTGCTATTGTAGCTATGGTAATTAATATTATTTCTCTGTTGGTTGAAAATGGAAAGGAGGTATACACTTATATTACAGGAACCAGAAATTCGGGGCTCGAATCTGAAATTTGAAAAACGCAAAACCTGCTGGCACATATATGCTCTGGGCTGTTTAATTCAAGTATCCTACAACTGTTAACAGGTATTCCTTCCAGACGAAATTATTTAACGTTTCGGACAGTGAAAATGGCTTACACCTAGTAGTATTTAGCTGTCGGAAAAGTCAGATAAATTCAGGGAATAGAACAATTGAAGATTAATCGCAGGCCACCCTGATTTGCTGAATGTACAACCTGCTCTTTGCAATTTCAGTGTACCCTGTCAATTTCGTCTTCAACAAACTCGCAAACAAAAGCTATAATCAGAATTGGACTTGAAGATGTTACAATCATGGAGAAAAGAAACAGTGCAGCCAAGCATGTCTCTCATGTGACTAAAATCCATAGATGTGGATACACACGCTGTAAAGCCATGTGGATGCAATATGTTTGAGATCCTAAGAAATCCGTTGACCGGATTCTATAAGGTTGACCTCTTGAACACACACACAAACAAATACACAATGAGATTGTGTCACTGTCAGTCTGTCACTGATCACTGCTGATACTGAAGATCTCTCTTGAAGACTAGTACTCCACAGTAGTGGATTTCACTCGAGATTTCAGATCATGGTTTGGTTTGGTAGGGTTTGTGCACTGTTGAGATGAAAAGGAAAGCGTTTGCTCCCTGGAATTAGGCACTGGGAATGGCATGCCACGGCTGAGGAAACCGTGCCGACCAAGGTGTGTATGAACTCGCAATCAACTTTCAGTGTTCCCTTTTGGAAAAATGTTACACTGAAGAAGACGACGACTGGAAGACGGAATTATATATTAGTTAAAAATTCCATATCAATCCAAAAGGAGGCTACGTGTAAGTGTTGACGTTTATGCCAGGTGAAAAAGAAACGCGTTGACCCTACAGATTATTATCCAGCTAGTGGTCGGCGTCCTCTGTGACTCTGTGTTGGCGAGAGTTGGTGTCTGGAATTGGGCTTGGTGAGCTTTGGAATTTTGGGCCGGCCTTGTAATGCCAGTCCAGGTGTTGTGCAGCGAGCACGGGACATCAAAAAATTTGTTACTGGGCCATTTTAAACGAAAGATAAAGTCCAGTTTGAACCCCTCTGGATGCATCTGGTTCATATCCTCAATTCATCTCCTACCGGTAGATGAATAGTTGAGGGATTATCGATGGACATTTTCCATAATATAGTACTGGAAGAGGCCCAATCCTAACGCTAACTTTAATAGGCCTCCAGTCCATCAAGGCCCATAATCTCTCTCTACAAGTAGAAGAGAGTATTTTCCTATTTTCGGCGATTTCGAGTGCAATCAGCCAAAGTAAAACGAACCCTAGGTTTGCTTTCCCCTCTCCTCTCGTGCGCGCCTTCGTCGTCGTCGTCGTCGGCGGCGGCGGCATGGCGGACGACGGAGACGGCGACTGCGTGAACCTGGAGCCTTTCTTCTACGACGAGGCAGCGACCGTGGCCGAGGCGGCGGCGGCGGCGGAGAGGCGGGAGCGGGAGGAGCAGGAGAAGGCGCGGGAGGCGGCGGCGAACGCCAGGAGATGGGCGGCGCACAACGCCGCCCTCGCCGGCATCCGCGAGTACGACCCCGCCGAGGAGACGTACATCTACACCCGCTACCACTACGCGGACCTGTCCGAGTTCGACCTCGACGAGGAGTCCCGCCTCCCTCCCATGCGCCACACCGCCGCCACCTACGCCCCGCCGGCGCGAGCCCTCCACTTCCTCTGCGATATGATCAACGTCCTCGCCGTCCGCATCATCCTCCCCTCCTCCGATCGCTCTGATGGTGGTGGTGTCGGCTTCCCCATCAGCGTCTACGGTTCTGTCATCGCCAGAGACCAGCTTGATTACAAATGTGTACATCTCTTCCGCCGCTGCAGAGACGATCCTCAGCTAATCACCTCAGAGGTACGGTACTTAGCTTGTTAATTCATCCATTCATAAATTAATCGCATAGTGTACAACACAGCATCAATCAGTATGATAATTTTAATTTGAGAAAATTTCACATGCGACAAATTTGTCGCAAAACTATATATTTAACTCGATGTATCACAAAACTATAGATTTAACATCAAATTTATCACAAAACTACACATTTAAAGTGGCGCTTCACAAAATTATATATTTAGAACCAATTTAGTCACAAAACCACAATGTTTATAGCTTCAACGTAACAATGGTGCTAGGGATTTAAACTCTAGAATACGTAGTTTTATAATAACTTCAATATTAAATATGTAGTTTTATGATACTTGGTCTTGTATCTATAGTTTTATAATACGATGACTTAAATCTGTAGTTTTGTGAAACTTACTCTTTTAATTAATTATAGGATGAACTGTCGTTGATATTGACTGGGCCTCATCGAGGACTTGTGCTGTATGACGCTCTGTACATTGAGGTCGATCTCAAGATGAAGGTGAAGGGTGATCAACAACAAGGCTGCAAGGACAAGCGACTCAGTAAAGGGCTGATAGTGTTGGATGGCGTACTGCTCTCAACAAACTTGAGCGACCATTTGCGTGCTGCGGTTAAAACCGCCACTCTTGATAGGAGAAGCACCATGCCCTGTGCCGTGCAGGTCACTTACGCGTATGTCACGCGTGCAGTGGAGGCCACCGTCTCCGTTGAGCTTCTGCATGATCAGGGAGGATGAGCTCATTTCTGTGGGGAGATCACTGCTTGCACCAGCACTATCCGAGATAGCATTGTGCTCCATGATAGCAGATTACTAGCAGATGATGGCATTGTGGCTGATGGATCTACTGTCCGGCTATTGCGCCGCGTGATTGGCGTCTGTTTGGATGAGGTGCTGATAGTGACAATTGTTGCTCAAGATGGTGACCTTGCAAAGGCAACTAACTACTGCAGACAAACCGTTGATTTTACACCTTGTGTCAATGGTGGAGACGAAGCTCGAGTTGTGGGTGGTGTCGGCAGTTTTCTTGTGAAGGTTATTTGGTCGTTAATGGACCCAGTTATTGACAAGTAGTTTGTTATCTTTATCATCACGAATGTAGGCTTTTAGTTGTGTACTGATTGTCTGCAATAGTTATGTACTGTTGAGAGGAAAAAGAAAACGTTTGCTCCCTGGAATTAGGCACTAGCAATAGCATGCCACGGCTGAGGAAACCGTGCCGGCCAAAGATGTGTACGAAACTACGAACTCGCAATCAACGTTTAGTGTTCCCTTTTGGAAAAATGTTACACTGAAGACGACGACTGGAAGGTGGAACTATATATTGGTTAAAAATTCCATATCATCCATATGGCACCATTTCCAGCGAAGCTGATGTGCTTAGTACTCCATGCACGACACGTCCATGAGAGTGGATTCTAATCCCCATAGGGATATCCGCTCATGTAATGCACATAGCTATCCCCTCATGTAATGCACATAGCTGTGAAAAAGTGTTAAATATGTGATCCGAATTTTGGGACCACAATATATTCGGATTAGTTATCTAATAGGACTCTACTTTATAGGATTAGTTTCCTATTAGGACTCCTAGATTTCTCCTATATATATTCTTTATAGGATTAGTTTCCTATTAGGACTCCTAGATTTCTCCTATATATATCCCTTGTAAGCCGCATGGGGAGGGTGCGACAGCCCAATGTATCCCCTGCGTTTGTATCCAATTCCTCTATAGTGATCATTGCCGGTCGGCGCCCGTGGTTTTTTTCCGCAAGGGTTTTTCCACGTAAAATTCGTGTTGCCATTGTGCATCTATTTTTATAACAAGTGGTATCAGAGCATTGGAAATCGATCTACTACCATCTCGGCTGCCGACGAGTTCGTCTGCTTGGAGATCCCATCTGCAAGTTTTAGCTGCCGGTACGCTCGTCGTAAGATCTGATCGGCAGTAGTAGGCGCGTGTCGTCGCGTCGTTCCATCTATCGCTGCCGTCAGATTGATTTGTTTGCCGAGATAAGATTAGCCGGTACGAAGCGGAGTCAGCCGTCGACTCCGATCGGGATTTGGTGCCGCCGTGCAGCGTGTTGGAGAAAAAGCAGCAATCCATCTACTTCAGCACGTTGATCAAGGAAAGAAAAATCAGCAGATGCACTCAGCCTTGTTACTGTTCACGTGAATTGAATTTCACGTTGGTTTTTTGCTGCGTGCACATGCCTCTTCGTACCAGGGATTCAATTCAATTGCGGTGCTTCGGTTCTGTTTGGGTGAATCAAATTCAGGTTCAATTTTGTGCTACATTCACAAGCCATGTTTACCAGGAGGTTGTATATGGAGATCAACTTCGTTTTATACACCCAGAGTGTTTCGCGTTTCTGCTAGGGTTTGACAAATTGTACCAGCAGATTCAGGACTTTATTCCCAAGGCGAGTTTGAAGTTTGATCTACTGCTTCTGGATTGAGATACAATATTCTCATTATGGCAAGTGAAGTTTTGCAGCGGGGTATTTACCTAGGAGGAGAAGTATGCTGGAAAAAAAAAGAGAAGCACATTCAAGTCGTCGAGAGGGAGCCTCGCTCCTGTCTAGATCACAAGGTGATCAAATTTTTCCGGCGAATTTTGCTACCATTGTACCCAACATACCATGAGGTTATCAGGGGATCTAAGTACTTCGTTTTGTGCACAAGAATTTTTCGCGTTTCTGTTTAGATTCCAGAAATTCATGCCAGCAGATTCAGGATTTTATTCCCATGGCGAGTTTGAAGTTTGTGCACCAGTTTCACGTCTCTGCTAGGTTCAGACAAGTTAATACTAGCAGATTCAGGATTTGTTCCCAATGGCGAGTTTGAAGTATGGTCTACCTCTTCTGGATCAAGGATGTTATGGATTATAGTCCAAGTGACTATTTGGCGCACATTGATCTTATCATCACGAGGTTGTTTAGAGATTGAAGATTTTTATGCTACAAGGGAAATTCGTCTCAAGGTGGAGATCGTTAAATATGTGATCCAAATTTTGGGCCCACAATATATTCGGATTAGTTATCTAATAGGACTCTACTTTATAGGATTAGTTTCCTATTAGGACTCCTAGATTACTCCTATATATATCCCTTGTAAGCCGCACGGGGAGGGTGCGACAGCCTAATGTATCCCCTGCGTTTGTATCCAATTCCTCTATAGTGATCATTGCCGGTCGACGCCCATGGTTTTTTCCCGCAAGGGTTTTTCCACGTAAAATTCGTGTCTCCGTTGTGCATATATTTTCATAACAAAAAGTCTAAAAAAAATTAACAATGTAGAGTATAGTAATATCTAATAGTCCATCAAAAATCAAGTTTAAATTCGACCTACACAGTGAGAAAAATAAGACAAATTAAAATGCGAATAGTATGCTACTATTTATACGTTGAATTTGTATGTTTATATTGTTGCGCCGCCGTCAGCACCAGTAGAGGCGGCGTCAGTGTCGCCTATGCTAACGATGACGATGTGGCCACCATCACCGCAGCGATCACCGCGGTGGCTAGAGCGCAATGCGGCAAAGCACACCTACCCATCTCGCAAGCACTGTGATTGTGTCTATGGGCTACCTCTTCTCTCGTTTTCTGTTGCGAAGCGACGAGATATGAATTATGAAGGGTAGGTGCGCGACGGGCGAAATATGTTCGTTCCTCGTGGGGAGTGAGAATGACACGTGGGCCCTATTATTTTTTATTTTTTTAAGTGATATGTCGGCTCATGGTTTTTATTATTTTCTAAATCAAATTGCCACGTAAACGCAACATCAATGCCACGTGGGATAAAGATTAGTTAAATTGGTCACGTAGGTTTCACTTCAGTCAAAACCGGAAACAATACCGCCGAGGGGTTCTCGTTTGCACTACTTTTGTAAGTTAGAGGATCCGTTCTATCTGGTTTTTCGGTTGAAGCAATAAAATCGGAATCGGTTTCAAGTTAAGGTATCTGAAAAGAACTTATTCTATTTTCTTTTGAGTTGATTTCTGAGCAATTATTAGGGCTGGCCTTTTTATGTCAGTCACCGGTCCGTGCGCCAATTCGTCCGGCCGGCCTCTGGGCCTCCGCTTGCAAATTGCAATCGCGCGCGACCATCTCCCATCTCTCCGTCGGCTACTCGGCTGCTGCTCCGCGCCCCCGCGACGCACCAACCGAGAGACCGCGCCGCAAACGCTACGCCTCGTGCACCTGTACGCGCGCGCGGGCGCGGCTGCCACACGTACGGGCGAGGAGGGAGCAATCGGATCACACCGTACCGCGCGTGTCGGCCTTGCTGTCGCTCTCGCTCTCGCCCTCGCCGCGGCGGATGCGCACTTGCGCGGTACGTACAAGCGCCGCGCGCGCGGCCGAACACGTACGTACACGCCGTAGGCTATACGTACAATACTACCTACCTGGCTGCTCCACCGCGAGACCGTACGTGCACGCTACGCCCAGTGCGCGGTGCGGCGTGCGTACGCGCGCGCGGGGGCAATTCAGCTGACCGCGCGTCGCGCGCGTTCCCCTGCGCGCACGGTCGCCGCTGCCACGCGCGCGCGACACGCTGCATTACAATTAAACCTGATCGATCGATTGATTACTTGATCGGATGAAGGATGAGTAGATCTATGACGATCGTGGCTGCTGCTGTTTGAGTTTAATCGATCTACTGCTCCAGAACACCCAGCCAGCAAAGCAACTATGCGCATCATTGGCATATATACATATGCTACAATTAATTAACTAAATCAACTCACCTGGACACGTACTACTACTACTTGAGAGTATTTGACCCGACTCTTCGACTTTGTGGCTGCAAGTTAGGGCCCTTTGAATGAAAGGATCCTTTATGTAGGAATTTCATAGGATTCAAATTCTATAGAAAATTTTCTTATTTGGCCCTTTAATTCAAATGACTGAAGCTTTTCAAATCCTATGAAATCCCTATGGAATGGCACATTGCATGTGGATTTTAGAGAAAATTTAGCAAGAGCTCCAACCTCTTGGAAAATTTCCTTTTAGTCTATCTCTCTCATCCGATTCCTGTGTTTTTTCCTACATTACAATCAAACGACCATTCCTGTGTTTTTCCTGTATTTTGCAATCCTCTGTTTTACACTTCAATTCCTGTCAGAATCCTGTGTTCTTCCTATTCCTCCTTTTTTTCTACCCTACGATTCAAAGGGGCCCAAGCAATAATGCTATTTCCTCCGTTTCATATTATAACTCGTTTGATTTTTTTTTATACAATTTATTTTAGTTTGATCAAATTTATAGAAAAGAAAAGCAACATTCACAACACTAAATTAGCTTCGTTAGATTTAATATTAGATATAGTTTGATAATATATTTGTTTTGTATTAGAAATATTTACTATTATACGAACGATTTTTCTATACGAGGGCTCCTCTAGGTTCTTAAGAGGCCCACATGTAAAAACATATTTTGCAAACAAACCTCTTAAGGAGTTGTATGTAAAAATAAACTTATTTTCTCAGGCGGAGCTCTTCGCATGGGAAAATATTTTTTTGCAGGTGGCCTCTTAAAAATCCATCTTAAAGTCTGACTTACCTCCTCTTTCACCGCTCAGCACTTCAAATTTTTCAAGTAATCCTTATGTCCTTTCCTCTCTCTTGCATCCTCTCCTCATATTACTCATCCCTCTCTCTCTCATTTCCCACCTTCTCTCCTCTCTCTCCCTCCCTCCACTCCCTCAGGAGCGGTTTGCGGCGAGCGGTAGTGCCCGACCCTCCTCCACGCGTTGAAGGAGGTGAGGGGCACTGTGGCCCTCCCCCGCCCAGATCCGGCGGCGACGGACGCCACCCCACACGCGCTTTGAAGGAGGCGAGGGGGCAAGGCCGTCCCCGCGTGGATCCGGTGATGGCGGTGGGAGAAGCTCGACGGCAAAGGAACCTTGCTAGAGTTCCAATTTTGGGGGATTTTTTTCAGATTTTTGCATGCGGACAACATAAGCACCCGCACGCGAAACTCTGATTTTTCGTGTACGGGTGCGTTACCCACATGAAAAATAGCAATTTTCGCAGACACCTTCGGGCAGACGGGCAACTCAACTGCATGAAAAATCGGTTTTGACCATTTGGAAAAAAAAAACATTTTTAGTAGTGGTTACTTTATTTTTCTATAAAGTCAGGAAATTTAAAGAAGTTTGACTAAGAAAAATTAAAAGTTAAATGACTTATTATAATATAAATCGGAGGGAATCCTATGCAACGGTTAGTTCTACCTTATTTCGTCCAAATATATAAAAAATGTTAAATGGCTAGCTAGCT